AATAATAATATCTTCATTTTCCCATTCTCCATAGAAAATGTGTAAATCCCCCCAAAGACACTTGATGGCGAAAAAATGGTCACTTGTGACAATTTGGTGAGGACTAATGTCACATGTCGCTGTGGCCTCTGGGTGGTATGGTACACTCTCYGGAAGGTTTCAACTTTCAACCGCCATGGCTGGAATCTCTGAATTGGGTTTGGAATATGATAACCATCAACGGCGTATAGAAAACGAGAAAATGGGAAAGAACCATCGACCGCAACCGGCTTGGGGAGTCAGTCACTGAGGAAAGGAAACTTAAAAATATATTTTCTTTGTTTTATTGTCGCTCTCTCGCATCTTACCTCTCTCCAGACCAGACATGTCGTCGAAGGCACTCTCGAGGCTGGTTAATCTTCGCAAGCATTTTCAACACACAGACAAGGTAGATAATGATGATCCTTTGCTTTCCCTTTCTGGGTCTTCTAGACCTTTTTTGTTTGAGTAAATTTGAGGTCCAGATAGTTAATCCCCTGTTAACAGTCTACCTCTCCTTGCTTGCTTGCAATTGGCAAGGCAAAAGAAAAAAAGTAAAGAAAGATTAGTTTATTCGTTTTGACTATGACTGTGTTCATAGGTTCTGTTGCAGGAATTAAAATGAAAGAAATACTGATCATCGGCTATATATTAAATATTTGTTTTGTTTCCTCCTTTATAGTTTATTATAAAAATTAGCAGCATGAAAGCTCTTTTCATATGTACATCGATTGACGATTGACTTTTCTTTGCTATTTCTCGTTTATATCTTAAAATGTAGTATGGAAATAGGGTAATTTGCAAACTACTTAGTCTAGATTTTACTTCATAGGGCGATAAAGATGGTAATGGTGGATGCTACTTGAAGATATCACCAGATGTTTCTGAGGCTTTATCACGTGGGAATGCAGTGGTTGCTCTGGARTCCACCATTATTTCACATGGTATGCTTTTTTTACATATTATTCAACCAGGTTTAGTGGATTCAATTAGAATGTTTTTGGCAGCAGACCAGTTACAAGGATTATTAATTTTTTATTTTGAAAGAAAAGCTTTATTGAATTATCAAGAAAAGGCAAGTGGGGGGATGGGGCGTGTAACCTGATCCTGAAAACAATACAAGAAGCAAACACTCTATTCATTAGCCTAGAGCAAGAAAACAAAGAATTTCAGGAGGAATAACGGGTGAAAACCAACGATCTCTGAATTGCCTCTGATTGATTTTCGATCATTGTCTCTCAAACATCCTAGACTTAATACTCTTTTTCTTTTTCTCCATTGTCACTCGTTCTTGATTTGGGTCATTCTATTGGTTGGTTGGGTTTTCCTTCACACCATCAGAATTGACTTCCTTTGCTGGGCTGGTTATACATTCAGTATTCATTGTTTGTTTCACCTGGAAGAACTTTGTATACTCATTTGATGGGATTTTCTAATGAGTCTATGGAGTTATTCACTAGCACTAATTACCATACCATCCCAGCAGCTATGCTTCACACAATAGGCAGAACAAATTTAAACTTTTTTGTTACTGTGCTTAAGTGGTACCTTRTGCATTCCTGCTTCTTTATCACAATTACACATTTGGCTTGAGGATTTTTTTGAACATCTTTATTAATACTATAATAATGTTTTGATCGGTGCCATTGCTCGGTGCAATGGGAAAGTCTTAGGCTGACAAACTTGAGAATGAGGGGTTCAAGTTGAGAATGTCCACTTTGTGCTGGAAAATGCCAAAGGTTTGGTCTGTATCTGGTTCACCCTTCCCAAGACCCCCCATAGCTGGGATCAACTTTGGGTAATGGTCCTCTCTCTCCTACTCAAAAAATAAGAAAAAAGTGCATATTTACATGATGAACCTTTATGTTATTTACACTCTTGACTTTATTTATAATTTCCATTCAGGAATGCCCTACCCTCAGAACTTACAGACTGCAAAAGAGGTGGAGAGTATTGTAAGGGAGAATGGAGCCATTCCAGCTACAATTGCTATTTTGGATGGTGTACCATGCATAGGTATCTTTCTTTCATTCCATATTTAACATTTATTAGAAGTTCTTGTTAGAAGGATTCAAATGGTTTGAATAAGATTCATTAAATAAAAATCAAGAAACTACAAATAGAAGAGGGGAGATAAACTTTCTTATCTCTCCCCCAAAAGGTGAAAGCGAAAATTATGTTCTACTGATGATAATTCTATTCTAAAAAAAGGTAATTCTATTAAGGGAACACTATCATACAATTGTTTTAAAAAATCTAGAATTTGAATGTGCTACATTTATATAATAAAAAAGTTTATTAAATCCATTGCTTAGCAGAATATGTTGCATAGGTTTTATATCTAAGCGCATTTCAATTAATTAAAAAATGAATCAAAGGAAAATAAATCAGGAGGAACTGCATATGTCTATTGGCTCATGCATGCTTTACTAAAAAATGCATTCAAATCTTTGATTAGCATACTATTGCATCAGGGTTTTTATTTGAGAACCTTTCAATTAATTGAGCAATCAGTGGGAAAGAGAATCAGGAATAACTGCACATGGTAATTGGTTCCTRTGATTCGTTTGATGTGAACAGTCTTGAATATCAAACCAATATTGTGTTACCATGGTATTTTTTTTTTTAAATTCAGCTGTGCTTCTGATTGTAGGGTGTTGACAATATATAGATGGGAACCTTTGACAAGCTTCACTCCTGTCCATCTATTTTTCCCCTTTCATGCAAATTCATTTCTTTTTTTTGGTAGGTCTGAATGATGAAGAGTTGGAGAGGCTTGCAAATCTGGGCACTAGAGCTCAAAAGACAGCTCGAAGGGATATTGCACATGTTGTGAGTTATTGTCTAATCGAGTATAAATTGAAAATTGATGAAACTTGTATCCTTACAGAGTCATCATCATCATCAAGCCTTATCCCAAGTTCCCAACTATATGGTGTTGGTTACATAGAAAACACTCTAACTATTGAATAGGAAGAGGTCTTATTGGAAAGCATTTGCAATGGGACATAGAGATCAATGTAATCCTTGGTTATAACTTTGTGTTCTGGTTCCTAATTGTTAAACTTATATATGCTGTGTATATTGACACTGACATATTATCACATCTGTAGCTCATACGGGCATCATTTTCCATTCAAGACTTTCCTAGCATTTGGGTCAGATTTTTTTTTTTTTGACATATAAATAGAAATTTCATTAAAGATAAAAAAATTTACAAGAGAAAGGTGAAATTAAATCACCCGAAGGAAGAACCATTTCACCCCTACTTCACAAAGCAAGCTTATAAACACAGGACCTAGACCAAAAACAGGATTTCACCTCCCAGAGACCATACGAAAACAAAATAAAAAATCCACTCTCAAGATGACATCAACTCCAAAACATCCCTAAAAAACAACAAACATCCACACCAATTTACTCTAAAAACCAGAAGAAACCACCTCCCTACCCTCCTCCCGACAACCACAATTGCTCCACGTCAAGGACCTCTTTCTGTCCCTCTCCCTCATCCCACGCCTCTCCCCCTTCCTTTGGAATGATGCTCTTTACGCACTCTTCCTTTTTCTGTCTCTCAAACTCTTCAAAAACCCTTCTTACAAAAGATTCACCGCCCAGAAAAAAAAGACCCAAAGCTTTACCTACTTCCACATCCCTCTCCACGAAATTTCTTAAATCCAATCCTCCATTCTTCCTCTTCTCAAAATCTGATTTCAATTCTCCAACATTCCTCCCAGCTTCACCAAAACCCTCTTTTTCCTTCACCTCAAGAACTCCATTCCACTTCAGTTCCCCTTCTTCAGAACTCAGAGCAACAGTAATCTGCCTGCCTAATTCATCAAAAGTCTTATGAATTGTGGCTTTTTTCTTGTGAATACTCTTTTATATTTATTACTAGGACCAGCCCCAAAAATTCCATCTTTCAAATACGAGAACACTTTAGTAACGTTTACAAGATGAGACGTGATCCTCTAGGCTTCTTCACAGCCATCGACCCTTCACCAGTAATCACATGAACAGGCCAACCTTTTCTTACCCAACTCGACTCCAATCCTTCCAACTATCACTTCTTCAATTAGATATTCATTGCTATTCCTTTGGCTACCAATATCGGCCTCCCCTTCAAAGCCATTGGTCTTTTGTCAGCACACTGTTGAAGATTAATTAGTTTTATGATGTTTTTCTGAGTAGATGTTTATGTTAGTTGTTAGATAGGAGGTGGGGACCATAGTAGTTATGTGAGTCCAAATTTTATTATGTTTTTTGAGTGTTATATATGCTGTTTTATGTTTTGC